AAAAACCTTGGGCTACTAATGTGATTTAACTATTATGCCACTTACATTGTTGTCTGAGGCCCACAAGAAACGTTTTTAAGAAAAATAGTCTAAGGCCCGAACTTTTCAAAGGCTTCATTTTGATGTTAAGCTTGAGGCCTCCAAAAACCGTAGGCCACTACTGGTTTAACTGTAGCATTTATGTGTCCTGTGTTATATTGACTCTGCTATTTCCCCAAAGTACCCATTTCCACTGGATACGGCAAGGAGGTATGGGTGTGAGATATGTGTTCAACACCTTATCCAATTTAAACACTCGAATTCTTTAATTTCTTATGATGCTTGAAAAAGAAAAAAATGGCATTTGCTAGTAAACCAACATATTTAGCTTCTCACATGGATGAGAGATGGAAATTTCATGTATATTGTCTTAAATCTTTTTTTTTTTTTTTGATAAATAAATAATTTATTGAAAGAGCATCAAGATGATGCAACAAATACAAGACATCAAAAGTAACTCCTAACCAAGAGTGTCATCTAAGAAATCTAAAAAAACAAACAAATCGAGATCAAACTTTTGTTCCATCCTACTATACAAAACTATAAGAAGGCGATTCTCAAGCCAAGAAGCAGTATGGGGAAGCTCTTGAAAAGTTCGTTGATTATGCTCCAACCAAACTAACCACATCTAACAAAGAGGCACCAAAGACCACGCACGACGTAGCTGCCGACCCACCCAAGCTCCACGCCAACTCCACAACATGTCCATCACCCTCCTCGGTTGAACCCAAACAATCCCAAAAATGGAGCAAATAACTTCCCACAACCGACTAGCCACAAGGCAATACAAGAACAAATGATCCACGGACTCCGTATTTGCACAACATGTACAACATTGATTCACTAGAAAATGATCATGCCGAACCAAGTTATCAATTGTAAGATTCCGCCCTAAAGTTGCCGTTCAAATGAAGAAAACCACCTTTGAAGGAGCCCCCGGCACCCAAACACTCCTCCAGGGAAAATCCCTCCTCTCCTCCCCCACCAAACTCCGATAATAGGACGAAACAGAAAAACACCCCTTAGCCCCCACAACATTCCACCCCAAAGCATCCTCCCCTATCCCAGTCACACCCAAGTTCCCAACCCATACAAGTAACCCCATAATTCTAGCAGTTGCGCTCCCAATCCTGAACCGGCCACCGCAAGTGAATATCTCATACCCACTACATCCCCACCCCCCAAATAAGATGCCACCATAGCTTCCTGATCCAAAGCAATGCCAAAAATCAAAGAAAAACGAGCCACCAACAAAGCCTCACCACACCACCTATCCTTAAAAAAAACGTACCCTCATCCCATCACCTACCCAAAACCCCACCATCTCCCAAAACTCCACTGACCCCAACCAAATTCCTTTCCATAAACCACAACCATGAGACCTAGTCACATCACTTGACCCCCATCCCCCCCTAGCCTGCCCATACTTACTAGCCACCACCCGTCGCCAAAGCCTCTCCGGCTCCACAGCATAGCGCCACAACCACTTACTTAATAAAGCTTAGTTAAAGACCACCAATCTCTACACCGTCAACCCCCCAGCCTCCTTTGATTGACAAATCTACCCCTAATCCACCAAATGGTATCTAAAACCATCCCTCCCACTGCCCCACTGAAAATTCCTTTGAAGCTTTTCCATTCGCCGCGCCACCAATACCGGAATAACATGCAAAGACATGAAGTACATTAGAATGCTACTCAACACACACTTAATCAAAGTCAACCTACCCCCTTTTGAAAGATATTGCCTCTTCCACCCAACCAACCGACGTTGAATTCACTCTACAACTCCATCCCACACCCCTTTCGCCTTAAATGTGGCCCCCAAAGGCAAGCCCAAGTAAGTTGCTAGCAAAGCCAACACCTGGCAACCCAACACCCCAGCTAACACTGGAAGACTCTCCACCTTCCCCACTAGAGTCAACTTTGATTTCCGCAAATTTACCTTAGAACCCAAAACTACCTCAAAGCATAACAAGACACACCTCAAATACCCTACTTGCTCCGCCACTACCCCACAAAAGACCAAAGCGTCATCAGCAAACAACAAATGGGAAACACGAAGAGGCTCTCCCGAGAGAGGACCCACCCAAAAACCCTCCATCAAACCTTCTTGGACAGCCCTATCCAACAATCTACTGAACGCCTCCATCATTAAAATGAACAAAAGTGGCGACAAAGGATCCCCTTAACAAAGACCTCGGTGTGTCGAAAAGAAATCCTGACAGTAGAAATACAAAACTGAATCCACCGACCCCAAATCTCTCCGAAACCCTTGCGCCCCATAACATCCAACAAAAACTCCCACCATACATTATCGTAAGCCTTCTCGATATCCAACTTACAAATCAAACCAGGTAAGCCTTGTCAAATCCGGGAGTCAACACACTCTTTAGCCATCAATACTGCATCCAAAATCTGCTGACCCCCTACAAAAGCATATTGAGAATCAGACACAACCACCTGCAAAACCCCATGAAGCCTATTTGCTAAAACTTTAGCCAAAAGCTTATACATACTATCAAGTAAACTAATGGGCCTAAAGTCCCTGATATCCTCTGTCCCCCCTTTCTTAGGAATCAAAGCCAAAAAAGTTGCATTAAACCTTTTCTCAAAGTGCCCAGACACAAAGAAAGCCTCCAAAGCTACCATCACATCCATCTTAATCACACTCCAACAATGTTGAAAGAAAGCCATAGTGAAACCATCCGGATTTGGTGCCTTGTCCCCACTCATCGCCCGCAAAGCCCCAAAAACCTTCTCTTCCAAGACAGGACGCTCCAAAACAGTTTTGTCCGCTGTCGAGATCATGTCAAAATGAACCCCTTCCATCCCGAGCCGCCACTCCCCTGCTTGCGGCCAAAACAAATGCTGATAGAAGGACACAATCCCCTCCTCCGTACCCAGATCCTAACCAACCACTCGCAACCTATTAATCTAATTCACCCGACAGTGAGCATTAGCCATCCGATGAAAGAACTTAGTATTCCGGTCCTCGTCCTTCAACCACAAGCACCTGGATTTTTGCCGATAACTCACCTCCATACGAGAGATATGGACATAATCCAGTCTAGCTACCTCCTTCCTTGCCACATCATTAGCTTACAAACCCCCATGAGCCTGTAAGTCGTCCAGGGAGGAGTGAAGTAGAGCCACCACCACTGCCTTCTGGCCCTCCAACCGACCAAACACCTCCTTATTCCACCTTTTCAAATCCCCTTTCAACAATTTCAATTTCTAAGCCAACCTACAGCTGGGTGATCCTGTCACCACATAACTGGTCCACCACCCTCGGACCACCTCCAAGAAACCATCATTTTATTTTAAATACGTTTCTATATAATTTACAAAATCTTATCCAAAAATATTATATAATATGCAATATATAAGTCTATAATGCATCTCTATACCTACATCCAATTTTTGGTCCCAATATCTTAAGATTTAGATTTATGAAGGTTTGATGCTTGGATCTCACTCACACTCGATACTCATATCCATGTCCATGTAACATAGCATGTGTAACATATTCTGGTGGCTTAAACCTAAGTGCATGGACATAGACATGTGACATGATGATAACATGAAACTAATATACAGACATGGTAAGCTCTAGAAAAGTTAGTTACCCAGATGGTGAGGACTCAACAATATGTGATGGCATATTGGGCTTGTATGCACATGTTTTAGGTGTTCAAGAAGTCTGTATCTAACATAAAAACATCAATTCTATAAAGGATGCCCAGATTATTTTGGCCCAAAGTGCTTTCGCTTTAATCTTTTATATTTTACAATGTTGTCAAGTATTGGCTCATACTAAGCTCTTTTGTAATATCTTGAGATGTATTGGATTATTAAATGGTAGCTTGATGATTACTGCAATTTCTCTATAGATATTGTTGCATGGCAAATTGTAATTAGCATTCAACAACAGCCTAATAGAGAAAGATGTCGTCATCTTTCTTGTTCTCTGTTTTTTGGTTGGGTGGTCTGGGTAGTGATTATTGAGCTTAGTTGGATCTTTAACACTTGAGAAATAATATAATGAAGCAAACTATGTGTTTGTTGGTTTGAGGCAATTGTAATTACTTCTTTCTCTTTCTCCTTTTTTAAGATATTACATAAGTTAATTTAATTATTGAATACTAGATGAAGAAAACCAAGGGGTGAAAGTATGATCATTTTTTGTTATATCAAATATGTTTGTTTAGACATTTTGGGATGGTATCAAATATTGACATCTGTTTTATACAGTATTGCAACCTACACTATATCAAATTTATTGAACCATTTTTCTAATATATGTTGAAATCTGTATGTGCTTCAGTCTCATCCAATTTTGAGTCATATTGACCCTTGCCTCCTATGTTACAACTTGCACGGGCTTGTTTAAATTTGTGAAGTACCAGTGTTGGACACTTGAATTATGATATGGGATGTGTCTGACACGGCTAGTTGGATGCGTACACTCAACAAACATGTTTGAAGTAATAGAATTTATTATGAAACCTTAGATAAGACTCCCATTGTATGCATACAAAACTATATTAATTTGTAAGTACTATTTTACTCTAAATAAATGAAAGAAGTACTTGAAGGAATATAAAATGTAGTCTAGACATTTATGGTGGGAATAAGAATTCAAGCAGACATGTTGGTTGGATTAATACTCGATTGCTCTCGGTAGGAAACAATCAGTATCTCTTATATTCTTGCCTTGTTGAATATGTGTTTATGAGTAGAAATGTGATAAGTAGACTATAAAGGAGACGATGTCTTCCATGATTTACTTGAAGTTCATGCAAATAAGATCTTAAACTTGATGGTTGTCTCCTGCCTAATATAACTTTTTTTTGGAAAGTAACCTGCCTGATATAACAAGCCTCCAGTTATTGAATGTATATATATATCAAATGACCAATGTTGCCAAACTAAGGTATTTCTTTATTTGTTACTCGTAGGTTACTTGCTAAATGATTAAAGACAGCCTTGAGGACTTGCAGTCGAGCAGATTCTTCTATTAATAAAGCAAAGTTCGTTTCCTCGCTGGAGATTGCTCCACCTCATGCATCTATCTACATCTGGTTGCAACAATGTATCTTGTTTTGCTTCTTCATTGTGTGGACTTGAAAGACCAAGTTCAACATTTTTCTCCCTTGCTTAGAATTACAGATCTATACTTTTAGTAATAAAGTGCTGAATTTGATATCTCAATTGTGTCTCTTACTGGTTGTATCTCATTATTATATTTCCATGGTAGAAATGTTTCTGCATCAAGAGAAAGTGTTAGGTCATTGACTCCTCCGGTAATTAAAATGATTTTTTGTTTGTGTGCAATTTTGAGATTATCTAGTTATGTGATGCCAAATTAGTACCGATCTTGGATGTGAATTGGGTGATTTTTTTCGAAGTCTTTGACGTTGCTAGCTCAAGTAGCCAAGGACCTAAGATCATTTCCCTGTCCATGCTAGTCTTTTTCTGACAGATTTTACTACAAATATGCTGTTGCACAACTTCATCTTAATGGATATGATTGTCAATTACGTACAATAGACTATTCCTTCATGGAATTAACAATTGATACCCCATCCAATTAGTGCCTTTCTTCAATGGTGCACCATATATGAAAATATTCGTTACTTTATTTATTTATAGATAGCATAAACTAAGAGGTACAAACAAATCTTGGGAATTCCTATTTGGCTTGATAACGGGTTTTTAGAAGAGCTATTTAGCAGATAATGATTTCCAATTGCTCTCTCGGTTTGCTCTTATAGCAGGGTCTGCTTGACAATTTTGAAGTCAGAGGCATATAATAGATGCATGTTTCTATTGAAACCCTCCTCCTAAATGCAACCAAATGCTTGGTTAAGGGTTTGGTCTGGTTGATAGTTGTGTGGTTCTTAGGTTTATATTTTGTCTTTTTGCAGTATAACTTTTCATTTTCTTATTCTTCTCTTACTGGATTCAAGTCTGAGTTTGGCATGACATCGTTTCCTTGACTTGGACAAGGAATTCTAGGCTTTGACCAGTCAATGGATTGGTCTAGATTGGAGCCTGTTTTAAAATCTGAAACCGCATCGTGACCATTGACTCTCACCAGGTTGGGATTTGGGACCATTACGTTAATATTTCGGATTATCAACCTTCTTCCATTTACAGCATATTTTGAGTGTTCTTATTTTTTTTAATTTTTTTCGAGAATATTTTTTTAATTTCTTATATATTGAACAATAATCCTTCAACATAACATAATTTTATTGATAGTACCAACAAGTAGAGGAAAAAGTTGAAGGATTAACCTCACTTGAGGCTAGAAAAGATCCAACTAGGTTGGCCTCTCGCACCTCAAACTCGATTATGTTGGCCATCATAACTTTCTCTCTTAGGAGTTTAGTTCAAAGGGGAAGATCATGGGTTCTTTCTAAGATAGAGTTGAATTAGGAGCTAAATGCTTAGTGCTTTGTAAGGATGGGGAGGCTAACTCTCATTAGTTCTGATCTAATAACTAACAATTGACTTTCTCCAATTAAAAAATATATATATAGAAGAAGAGTTCCTACTCTTCAGGTCTATCCAAAGTTCTCCATTTCTTCTTCTACAAGTGCCGCTTTTCATGTTGCATCATGTAATCTACTATCCATCAAACTCTAATCTTTCAAGCGAATTAAAGCTTTTATTGTTGTTGGGTTCAAAACAACCCTATGTCCTTTTGTAATGCGACTACTTGCACTAAACGCAATGAAGTAGTGGACGTTGGTAATGGTTAGTGTATGACGAGCAATTAAAGCTTCTATTGTTGTACTTACACCAAAATAAATAAATAAATAAATAAATAAGCTTCTATTGTCGTCGGGTTCAAACCAGCCCTATGTCCTTTTGTAATTCGACTACTTGCACTAAATGCAACCTTCGATGAAATAATAGAAGTTGGTAGCGGTTAGTATATAACGAGCAATGATGGACATCACACGATATACTTATGTTTTGGTTCTTTCCACAATATTAAGGTTTGGGTTGTGCTCCCTCCAAGATCTTAGGTAAGGGTATTCAAGGAACTGTGGAACCAATTCTACCTATCCAGATTGATCGACCCAATGGTTTCGACATATATTTTGATCGACTGCAATTTTTGAAGAGACAATTTGAAATTTCAGTTCTGAAAATTGGGTTTACATAATTCAAACCAGACGAATCCAAATACTTACCTTACTATGTTTTCTATTGGTTTGGAAAATTATACCACCTATATTAGAGGTAAACCCTTAGACTTGTGAGGCTCCTAACTTTTATAAATTCTATTAAAAACCTAGCTTTTGAATTTATAAAAAAATTTAAGTTTCTCTTTTACTTGCAAACTAAACCCTAATTTATGGTTATTGTTGTTTTCACCTAATTACTTGCATTTCATTTCAAGGCATTGTAGTGCGACTCGAATTATCTTTTATATCTCTATGTTAATTAATTTTATATTTGAAATAGGTATTTAAACTAATAAATTTAGTCCATACCCTCATGCTTCATTAATATTGCATTATAACCCTAATTTCACTACATATATAGATATCTATATATATAAGAATAGCTTTGGTCAAAGAGGCTTGTACTTCTTTTCCACATTTTGCCCTCTTGTTTTGGTAATATTTACCAATATTGTTGGTACTAATTTAGATGATCGTCTTTTTCTTAATTATGTAGAAAAACTTTGTTAGTTATGAAACATGAATATTTTATTTTTGAAAATAACTTTGGCCAAAGAGGGTTTTATTTTTTCCCCCATTTTGCCCTCTTTTTTTGGTAATATTTACCAATATTGCTGGGTACTGATTTAGATGATAATTTTTTCGTAATTATGCAGAAAAACTTGGTCAATAATAAAATATGAATATTTTGTTTTTAAATAAATTAAAAATACACCCACAAGATTTGTTTAAAATATGAATTGTCCTTATAATATTAGAAATTACAACTACAACAAAAATAAATAAATAAATAATTTTCCCCATTTTGCCCTCTTGTTTTGGTAATATTTACCAATATTGTTGGTATTAATTTAGATGATGGTTTTTTCGTAATTATGCAGAAAAACTTGGTCAGTTATGAAACATGAATATTTTATTTTTGGAAATAGCTTTTGTCAAAGAGGCTTGTATTTTTTTCTCTCCATTTTGCCCTCTTTTTTTCGGGTAATATTTACCAATTAGGGATGGCAATGGAGGCCAGTGAGGTAGATATTAATTCTCCATCCTCATTCCTCTATTATAATTTTTCTCCATTTTACATCCCCTATTCCCCATGGGGACTACCCTCCCTATCCCCTAATGGGTTTAGGTTTTCTCTAACCCAACTTGACCCTTTTTTTTTTTTTTTGGTCAAGGTATACAGCCAAAACCAAATACACATTCAATTATTATTATTGTTATTATTTTTAGTTCAACAACAAAACCAAATACACATTAGTTAATTAATTAAGAATCTTATTTTAAAGTAATAAAATTTAAAATGTTTTTTCGGGAATAAAATGTAAAATGTTAATAAAATATTTAATAAATTAAAAAAAAAACATACACAAAGAGATATAGAGAGAGAAACACATAAGAGCAAAAGAGAGAGGAACCATGGCAGCATGTTTAGAGATAGATTGTCACAACCCAACCCCAAGGGCTTAGGGCTGAAATTGCTACTCACCAATTTATTCTAATTGTGGCAAATTAAATAGCGCAGGTGAAAAAAAATGGAAATAAAAATAATTAAACAGAAAATTTAATTTATTTTACTATTTTAATAAGAGAAAATACATCTATAGGGTTTTTATTATTTTATTATTCAGTGATCGGCCCTGAGTAAAAACAAAAGGAAACAAAAATAAAATAAATAAATAAAGAAAAGAAAAGAAAAACAAAATAATGGTTCAACATCAAATTCTCGTGCGGGTTCCACTACGTAAGGTTATAGGTCTCCCTTACATTTCGTCATCTGAAAGGGTAACAGCTATAAGCACACAGCAAAGTGAGAAATATTATACCAAGAGTATAGGGAACACAAAATAACCATAGATAATTAGTTAAGCTAAAACATTTACATAACTTAATTTGAAATAATAATTTATTCAAAGTGGCAGAAACTGAAATACAGAAATTATGTAAATAAATAACCATAATCACAGTATAGAACAAAGGTCACTGAAGTGACAGTCAGAACAAAGGTCAATGGATCCATGACAACAGAGGACCACAAAGTGGTCAAACAGAGGCCAATGGTTATTTAAGTCCTCCAAGGCTTGAAACTCCCGTGGTGATACTTACAAAACATAATTATTTATAAGATCATTGTCAAATACTTTCTAAAATTTAAACAAACATATCCATAGGTTTTATTTTAAACAAGTAGGGTTCAAAAAATAACCCACATAATTGAAATATTAATATAATTTATAAAACATAGCTTGTATAAAATAAATTATAGTAAATCAAACCATACGTAAAATATATTATGGTAACTCAAGGTATAATATAACTCACTTTCATATTGACCCTTAGCCTTACTTTCTACTATCACAACCTTCTCCAGTATCTTGCGTGCCTCTTTTTTTCTTTTTTTTTTTCCTTGTGTTCTTGCACAACTCCTCCCTATTTATAGGGAGGCAAATGTATCACCAGGCCAACACGTGGCACAGCTCAAATCCCCCTCCCCTCCAGATTTGATCATAAATCACCACAGATTTATGCTTATCTTAATGAATATTTGTGATAATTACACTTTGGCCTAGTTCTCTAACATAACTATATAAACAAATTAATCCCTAATTAAATTACATTTTATCGCATACCAACAGAAAATTAATTATTTATTTTACTACCACACCCGCTATTATTATTATTATTATTATTATTATTATTATTATTATTGGTTGTAGTATTAATTAAATATTTAGGGTGTCACATTTCTTCCCTCCTAAATAAAAGTTTGTCCTCAAACTTGACGTACCTTAATTTTCGAAGAGGTGCGGGTATTTGGTTCGCATTTGACTTTTCGTTTCCCGTGAAGCTTCTTTGATATGATGATTTCACCATAAGACTTTTACTAACGGTATGGTCTTGTTTCGGAGAACTTGATCATGACGATCGAGAATCTGCACTGGTTGCTCTTCATAACAGAGATCCTCTTGAACTTCTAGGTCCTCATAATCAACAATAGGTTCTGGATCTTGAAGATACCGTCGAAGCATTGAAACGTGAAACACATTGTGGATATTGGATAGTTCAAGTGGTAGTGCAAGGAGATAGGCTACAGGACCAATCCTTTCCAGTATCTCGAATGGCCCGATGTAACGTGGG